ATTGTTACTTATGGTTCATATTGTGTTTATGCCACGTATTAGGGATCCTAGCCTTGGCCCTATGTTATCTTCCATGACATTTATCATTTTCGATTTTATATTTAAGTCTTTGATCCATTTTGAGTTAGTTTTTGTGCATGGTGTGAGGTATGGGTCTTGTTTCATTTTTTTGCAGATGGATATCTGGTTATGCCAGCACGTTTTGTTAAAGAGACTGTCTTTTCCCCAATTAGCGGACTCTCGGCCTTTGTCACATATCAGCTGCTCATAGGTGGATAAATTTATGTCTGGATTCTCAATTCTGTTCCGTTGGTCTCTGTATCTGTTGTCGTACCAGTACCAGGCTGTTTTGACTACTTATCACTCTTGCTTGAAATTGCTTAGTGTTTTATAACCACTCCCTGGTGTTGGTAAGATTTTGTTGTTTCTCAGCATTAAGAAGGCTGCTTTAGAGATGATGTCATTTGCTGACTCAGCCTGCCTTTGTACTCTGGGGGTAGGAGAAGGCCATTCAATGGCCTCAGAAGGCATTTCCTATAAGCCTTTGTTCTACTCACAGTGCAGGGTGTTGGAATTAAGTCTATTCATAGTCGAGCAGTTTTTGTTTTTTTCCAGGGGAACTGAAACTCCCAAATCAATCTTAAAGAGCCCTGGGGAAGGAGTTGATTCATGGAGAGTATTTCAGCAATGACACTTTTCAGTTAGACAAATGGGGGTAAGGAGTTAGGAATTTATCGCCTAATGGAAAGAACATAATGTGAGTGAAGCTCTTGCAGACTGGTTCCAGAGGTCCGGGTGTGGGTACCTCCTCCCAGTGTGACCAGGTCGGTCCCTTAGGAGAGAAGCAGCCGCTGAGACTTGGACTTAATGGGAGGGGTGCTGCCTGCGCAGAACACAGCTTGGATTTTCACTTTTCTATTTTCTTCAGTGAATGTCCCTCCAGGCGCCATGACAGCCAGTGCTCCCGACAGGCTGAAATCCGCCAGTTCCTCCCACTGCTCCTGGTTGACTGCCCATGATGAAACTTTGTCAGTGGTGGCGCAGAGGTGCAGCTAGAGTGTGAGAAAAGTCTGAAGAAGCCCTAGGTTTTGATGATTAGTTTTAGTGAATCGTTTTGAGATCCATAAATTAGAATGGGTACTATCACATGTGAAACTCAGCTAAGCGGTATTTCCCTTCCGACAGGCAAATCAGGCTTTGCTGGGCCAATTATATAACAGACAGCTGCACAAATGGGCTGGTGGCTAAGCAGTTACAGTGGAAATAAAGGAGGGATACAGATGCTAGTACCTGGTTCTAACCATCTCATGCCTTTCCTTGAAGGCCACCCCTCTATGTAAAACATGGACTTCACAGATGAAATAAGACACCCAAGGAGCAAGCTGTTTCTAGGAGAGATACTTATTGGAAATTCCAGCTGTCACAGAGAATAAGGGAAGAGAAAACTGAACAGACTGGCAAAGGCTTGGAAAAATATTATTCTGGAGAGACCCACTGTTTCACTCAACAGAACAAGAGCCGCCTTCAGTGGCCTCTAAATAAACATCGAGGAGAACATTGAAGTTCCCCAAAAGGCAGTTAAGAGCTGGAGGGTGGGGTGTGTATGTAAGGAATGCAACGTTATGTAATACTCAAATTATATAATATTTTATCTTTCTGTGATTCCTTGGTCTCCCAAATCATGTAAATTCAAGCCTTCAAAACACATGAATTTAGAATATTAACAGTAGCTTGAGTTCTGCTCCTAAAGGCAGTGGTCTCACATATGAACTGCCAATAGAACACAAATCAGTTCAAACTTTTTGGAAATATCTGGCAGTATACATTAAGAATCTTAAAAATGCTCAGACCCTTTGAGCTAATCTCGGGATATATCCAAAATAATTCAAGATACAAGGGGAATAGAAACATTAAACATAAAGAAGTTCTTCCCAGTATTTTTTATACCCCCCAAGTAATGGCCATAGCATAAATGCCAGTCAGTAGGGTCCTCCCCTCTGCTTCCAGTCCCTGCTGCAGGACAGTTCCAGGCAAGGGGGCTTCCATCACTTTATGTCAGCAGTCTTGCCTCTAGTGCTTTCCATCGATCTTTTGCTTTCTGCTCTTCAGGCTTCTCTGACACTTTGTCACGGAACCCTGGCAGGAACCCACTCAGCAGGTAAGTACGTTCAGCCCAGAAGTGCTGGGGAATTAATGCCTCCTGAGGCCAACCACAACCCCTAGCAGATAAGAGCCTGTGGAGAAATGCTACTCCATTTGATCCTGGGGTGGATATTTCTGAGGCATTTTGTATGCTTGTCAAAACCTCCTGGTCGGGTCATGCATCAGGTGCTCATAGCTGTGATCAACTCTTCCTTCCCTGTTTTATTCTCCCCAGTTCCTCCTACCTGCTCCCTGTGGGATCACCTTCCAAATAAACTGTTGTTGTTAGTTGTCAAGTCGATTCTGACTCATGGCTACCAGAACACAAGCCCTTGTCTCAAGCTCTGCTTTTGGGGAGAAACCGAGACTAAGCAGTTGGTAGCAGAAGTGGCCCTAGAAAGCAGACCCCCCAAATGGGATTTAGGAACTGGATCAGTCATTGGCAGATGGCAGCAAAGGTCCTGTGAGTGGTGGTAAGTGGGTGATGATAACCCAAGACATCTTATAGGATCGTCATTACCCAGACTCCCGTGGTGGATTGAAATGAGGTACTAGGGGAAAGGGAAGTGTTGGGTTATATGAAAGCTCTACCACATGAATAGTACAGAGTCAGTGCTAATTGTAAGGACTGTGGAGTTAACTGGCTTATATTAACTGCTATGGAAAGACTTTTTTAAAAAAATGGCAGGCTCATCAGCCAATTATCAACTTGTGATAAGAATCAGAAGGCCTCCATGGCACAGTTTAAAGAGACTGATCTGCAGCTTCAAAGTGGACTGCTGAAATTCAGGCCTAGGA